GTTAAGTGCCCCTGGGTTCAATCCCTGGTATCAATGAAAAAAGAAAGAAATGACAGTAATAATAAATGACATAGTAAATAATAAATAGTTGATGTCAGATGAACATAGTCCAATCTTTATTTACTTTTGGCAGGTGGTCTGATTGACAGCTTGGGTAATTTGAAGAACCTTGTGAAGCTCATACTGGATAACATTAAGATGAATGAGGAAGATGCTATAAAACTAGGTCAGATTTTTATTTTCCCTAATTGTTTTTTCTTAATTTTAAAAATGTAACTATGATAYTATGAATAGTTAGCATAAGAGTCTTTGGCACTGGATGCATCTACATGGGGCACTGTTTCATGCACTGTGAATATACTGGTTTCCTAGGCATTTCCCACACTCCCATTACAATCCTTAAGCACTATTTTATTCAAACTGTAACCATCTGACTGTCACCTTTTTAGAGGAGAAAACTGCAGGATGCATTTTTAACTCCCTTCTCCCTGGATGATAGACTATTTTGTATTTAAGGTGATATAAAAACATTTATACTGTGGTTTCATAACTAAAACTTCATAAATGAAATAAGATGCAGGAAAGAAGGTGGAACAAGAAAATTTTGGGAACACAGCAGAGTCCATGACTCGTCACAGAGATCCAGGGCCTCAAGGATAAGGGGAATTCCTGTTGAAGCAGTGTTGTCTAAATAAATGTCCCTTTTTCTCCTCTCTCTCTCTCTCTCTCTCTCTCTCTCTCTCTCTCTCTCTCTCTCTCTCCACCTCTTACCTCCCTCCTTGAGCAGGGAAAATGCTCCCTTTTTCCTTCATCAGTGTTCTTTTTCCTTCTACTTTTTGCACAAAGATAATTCATTCCTCTAATTCAAATATGGCTGACACCTCCTTACAGGATCCCTGAGAAAATTAATTAATCCAATTAAACTGTTTGCTCTATGCCTATGAATTGGACAGATCATCAAAGCTRGAAGGAGCCTGAAAAAATCCATTGGAAACTAGAATGCTTTATAGACTTGCCCAAGGTCTCATGACCTTGGACAAAAGTGGMCAGTCTGATTCTGTTATTAAGAAATCAAAATCTGGGGCTGGGTTTGTAGCTGAGTGGCAGAGCACTTGCCTAGTACATGTGAGGTATTGGGTTTGATCTTCAGCACCACTTAACAATAAATTTAAAAAAAAACATAAAGGCATTGTGAATTATTTAAAAATAGTTATAATAAGAGTATACATTGAAATGCATTAAAATACYACACATTTTACTACAGTTCTTCTCATGCTGCTGAGAGAATGACCTCCATAGAAAAGACTTGAATGGGGGCTGGGGTTGTGGCTCAGTGGTAGAGTCTTTGCCTAGCATGCACGAGGTGCTGGGTTCGATCCTCAGCACCACACACACAAAAAAACTAAATAGACAAAGGGAAGGTGTTGTGTCCATCTACAACTAAAAATATTTAAAAAGAAAGAAAAAAAAAGGACTTGAATGGTTTGGGAAATTGAAAATTGAGGATTTAAAGAAAAAACAACTCTGACTCTTGAAGTAACTTGAGGCCTCTCTACAGAAAGAACATGGAAAGGTCTCTGTGCTGTTCTTTGCCTTCTTTTCAGTCCATTAATCTRTGTTTAAATCAAAGTGACTTGGTATCTTAATGTATTTCCTTTCAATTTTTTGCAGCTGAAGGTCTGACAAACCTGAAAAAGATGTGTTTGTTTCGTCTGACCCACTTGTCTGACATTGGGAAGGGAATGGATTACATAGTCAAGTCTCTATCAGGCCAACCCTGTGACCTTGAAGAAATSCAATTAGTTTCCTGTTGCCTTTCTGCAAATTCTGTGAAAACCCTAGGTAACTATTGTCTCCATGCCCTAAATGAAAACAGAGTAACAGAACATGTGAGACTTTTATACTAATGCACACTAAATCTTACAAATGGAAATTTAATTTAAAAAAAACTGGGAAAGATGATAAAGATGCTTAGGTATTATCCATCCTGTTTTTAATGATTTCTCTGTGATCAGAATTAAAATTAATTATTGATGGATGATAGAAGAGAATTATAGAATAGTTGAAAATGTTATAACTGTGAGAGAAGGTGAAAAGGAAGAAAATAGGAAATTGTTTGAAAAATGTTTGTTTAAAACTTACTGTACATCCTGTCATATAACTACTGCCCATTAAATACTTATATGAATGGATAAACAAATGATATAAAGTAAAGACATAGGATTTCTTTAAATTCTCTCTGGCCTTGTATTCTTACCCATTACCCTGTTGAGATGGAGTTAAGTCTCTGGAGTCCCCACAGGGTATGCATACTAACTATGGAGAAATCTTTCCATATTTCTGAATAAACTGTTCACTTCAGATGTTTTAAGCTTTCAATTTTGGAAAAAAGGTAGTGTAACACTTTTAAAATCAGTCCATAAAACTGCTAGGAGTCTAGACAGATTATAAGAAAGCCATTTGTTTACAAATATAAGCTTATAGCTACAGAAACCCATGGCTGGGCTGGGGTTGTTGCTCAGTGGTAAAGCACTTATATAATATATGTGAGGCCCTGGGTTCAATCTCCAGCACTGAAAAAGAAAAAACAAAGAAATCCATGGTTGGAAAAGGCTAGACAAATATTGGGAACACTGAGAAGGATGAGTATACTCCTTTATTTCTCTACTTGCTACTAGGAAGCAACCAGCTTAGAAGCGAAAAGAGCAAATRTATATACTCATGAAACATTGTCTAATTTTTTTAAAGGAAGTAGTTCAAAGTAGTTTTGATAAGGAAACCTTCAGCTAGATTAAGCAAACATGATAAATATATGAATTAAAGAATGCATTTCTTAGCTACAGTGATACTGATATATAATGTTTGCATCCAGAGTAGTTTTCTGTATTTTTTAATCTCAACATATTTGTCTTTGTCATTAAGATATATATTTGATAGTGAGCATAGAGTTAGTTTTACTTTTTTTTTTTCAGTTCTGATTATCTCTGCCCTTTATTTAGAGTGTTTAGTCCATTCATACTTAATATACTTAAGTGTGGATGGATTTGTACCTCCTTCTATCCTATTTGTTTTCTTTTTTCTTTACCCTTACCCTTTTTTTTTTTTTTTGGACTTTCTAAAGTTTTGTTGGACACAGTGGAACCTTCCTGTAATCCCAGCAATTTGAGAGGCTGAGGCAGGAAGAACGTGAGTTTAGAGCCAGCCTCAGCAACTTAGTGAGGCCCTGAGCAACTCAGTGRGACCCTGTTTCTAAATAAAATATAAAAAGGTCTGGGGGATGTGGCTCAGTGGTTAAATATTGCTGAGTTCAATCCCTGGTCCCCAAAACAAACAAACAAAACAACAACAACAAAAACAAAAACCTTTCTAAGTTTTTATTATTAATATCACAACCATGATGTCAACAAAATCAGGTAGGCTGAGATACACAAAAAAAAAAACTTACCTGTTTTGTCTTCTTCTGTTTGTCCACATGGTTAAGGGTATTTTGGAATTGGAAGCAACCGCACAGTGTATTTCAACCACCTCATTCTATAGATGCAGAAAATGAGGCTTACATTGAGTGGCTATTCCATGGTGACATAACAACAATGTCCCATKATGCTTTTGACTCTGTGTAACCTGGAGTTCATTAATCAGAACCTAAGACCAGGAAATATCTGCCCACTTGGTCATGGCTTTGGGAATTGGCAGTTACAGTACCTATCCAGGTACTTTTGGGGATAATTAAGTTGATCAAGTCAAATGAGAGTTTKTATTGCCATCAGCAAAGAAGCCAAGGGTCAGAATTCTTCTAAGGATATTTAAAAAGGCATATATAGTTATATGAAAATCTTTTTATTATATTTTGTTTTTCAGCTCAGAATCTTCATAATCTGGTCAAACTGAGCATTCTTGATTTATCAGAAAATTACCTGGGGAAGGATGGAAATGAAGCTCTACAGGAACTGAGTAAGAATGACAACTTGACCACAGTCAGATACTTGCATATGTGTCTGGATAGTTAGAAAAACACTAGCCTTGGCCCTGAGGTCTCTTGTACTCAGGGGAGACCTACTAGATGCACCTTCCGTAGGAAAATCCTTTAATCCTTATATAGTCACCKGTTTGCACATGCTCATTGCATCTGAGGCTCCTACATGATTGTCTCTTTCAGGGATGGTAGTCTTCAAAGTTCAAGACAAATTTACTTTAAAAAGTAGTGATAAGGGCTGGGACTGTGGCTCAGTGGTAGCACACTTGCCTGACATGTGTGAGGCACTGGGTTCAATTCTCAGCACCATGTATAAGTAAATAAAATAAAGATCTATCAACAACTAATAAAATAAAATTTAAAAAAGTAGTGATAAGACTTCTTTTTAAATAAAATAGTTTTTAGTTGTCGATGGACCTTTATTTATTTATTTATTTATATGTGATACCAAGAATCAAACTCGGTGCCTCACATGTGCTAGCAAGTGCTCTACCACTGAGCCACAACTCCAGCCCAAGATTTTGAAGGTATGTAGTAATATGTGGTTATGATTTTTAAAAAGAAAGAACAGATACAGAGTTGTAAACCTAGCTCAGTGCATGAGTGAGGCCCTGGTTTCAATCCCCAGCATCAAGACAACAAGAATAATAAAAACCCAAACAAACAAACAAAAAACCAAAAACCCTGATGCATATGTTTGAGATTTGCTTCAAATAATGGAGAAGGCCAGGCCTGGTGGCAGAGGTCTGTAATCCTAGCAGTGGGAGGCTAAAACAGGAGGATTGCAGGTTCAAGGCCAACCTCAGCACTTAGCAAGACCCTGTCTCAAAATAAAAAGGGCTGGGGCTGGAAGGTGGCTCAGAGGTAAATTGCCCCTGAATTCAATCCCCGGTACCAAAAAAAAAAAAAAAAAAAGAAGAAGGATGCAGAAGGAATCAGGAATCAGGTCAGGATTAAATGAGCTTGTCCATGATTTGCCGTTTGTTGAAAGTTGGATTATTTGCACGTAGTTTCATTACACTGTTTCACATCATATTTCTGTGTGTTTGAATATTTTTCGTAAAATAATCACAAAACAAGCAGATTGTCATTGCAGATGGAGTGGGCTGCAGAGCCACCCACTGGAAGATCCTTCCGTCCCCCACATGGCTCCATCCTTCATCAATGCTGAGATAATCTAGTTCCTGAACTGCTCTGTTTTCCAGTTGGCAGGCTGGACCTCCTTGAACAGCTCACTGTGCTGATGCTGCCCTGGTGCTGGGATGTGCGAGTCAGCCTGGCCAGCCTGCTGGAGCAACTGGAGACGGCCTCCCAGCTTGTCAAGCTGGGGCTGAAAGACTGGAGACTCACAGATGCGGAGATTAGAGTTTTAGGTGGGTATGCAAGAGCCAAGAAAAAAGAGGCCAAAGAAAGTTCTTTAATTGGCTTATTTTGCTCCTTTATTCTATTTTGCCTTTTTTTTTTTTTTTTTTAAGTACCAGGGATTGAACCCAGATGCGCTTAACCTCTGACCCGTATCCACAGCCCTTTGCCTCCTTTGAAAAAAAAAATGTGTTCAAAGAGTGTTCACACATATTAAGGAGTTGCATTGAGTTGGAAAGGATATGTCTTTTCAGAGATGCTCTTGGGGGTGTCTAGACTTGTGGTGAGGCTTTTTTTTTGGTAGGGTTCTTTTAGCATTTTACAATTCTGTAAGCAGGAAGCTACCTACTTTGCCCATTCCCAAGGCTTGCCATAGACCAGAGAAGGAGATGATGTGTTTAATGAAATMAGAACTGAACTAGGCAATGATTTACCATTTGGCTTTAATATTCTGGTATCTTCCAGCCTCCATGAGGGCAAAACTGCAAGTGAGGGCTGGGGATATGACTCCAGTGGCATAATGCTTCACTGGCATGTGAGGCCCTAGGTCAATTCTCAGCTCTGCAAATAATCAATAATAAATAAGTAAACTGCAAGCAAATGAATGAGTGAAAACTCACACCTAGTTAGTAGTGATTTATTCTCCAAATTTTCTAAGAAAAGAATTTGTAGAATTATCATCATATCCCATAAAAGATAGCCATTATTATACTGGTTTATAAGGAAGCTTAGACATGGGGCTGGGGCTGGGGCTCAGTGGTAGAGCCCTTGCCTGGCATATGTGAGGCACTGGGTTCAATTCTCAGCACCACATATAAATAAATAAATAAATAAATTAAATATCCATCAACAACTAAGAACAATTAAAAAAAATGAAGCTTAGACATAAAAAAGGGTTGAGCTGTGTGCAGTGGTGCATGCCTGTAATTCTAGTAGCTCAGGAGCCTGCGACAGGAGGGTTGCAAATTCAGAGCCAGCCTCAGCAACTTAATGAGACCCTAAGCAAYTTAAGTCAGGTGCTGGGACTGCTCTGTCTAGCCCCTCCTAAGGCTCTAGGTTGATGAAGAGGTTAGCTGCATTGATTTTGGATCAGATGCACCTGGCCACCCCTTCCACTTGTTGGATATGTGACCTGCAACAGATTAAATCCTCTGAGCCCCAGTTTGCTTATCTACCAATAGAGGACAATTATAATACCTACCCTATTAGCAATGATGTGTTAATCAGTAGTTGAGCTGATGCATGTAAAGTCAGAAGATGCTCAATAAACGGTACTGTTATCATTATCCTCTGTGGACTTCCAGGGCAACAGATACTACAGTTAGTATCCTTTAAAAATCAAAAAGCTGGGCTGGGATGTGGCTCAAGCGGTAGTGCGCTCTCCTGGCATGCGTGCAGCCCGGGTTCGATCCTCAGCACCACATACCAACAAAGATGTTGTGTCCGCCGAGAACTAAAATAAATAAATAAATAAATAAATATTAAAAATTCTCTCTCTCTCTCTCTCTCTCTCTCTCTCTCTCTCTCTCTTTCTCTCTCTCTCTCTCTCCTCTCTCACTCTCTCTTAAAAAAAAATCAAAAAGCTTTCTCTGCTTGCAAAATACAGTCTAGCATGCTTAGCTTTGAAGCATGAGGCCTTTCATGATGGAGCCTCACCCACCCTGCACTCTGCCTTTACCTTCTGCCACATCCCCTACTGCATGGAGCTTCACCTGGGGTCCTCTCAGCACTCCCCAAGTCATCTTTTTGTTCATGGATGTCCTGTAGGTTGTCCCTCACCTATATTCCCTTTAACCCAACTTACATATCTCCTCCATGGTTAAATATTTTTTCCTCTTCTGCACCCTCTTGTGAATCCTAGATGTTTCAGGCTTTTTGACTGTGACCACATTTTATCTCACGATCAAAAACATGTGTACATATACATAATCATTTTTACAAAAAGTGTTTTGCTATGTGATACAGTTATTTTCTTTTGCTATCTTATTTTCCTTTTTAAAAGACCAATTGCAACCCATAAAATGTTTCTAATGCTTTTCTAAAGGAGGGAATACCTTGCAGCTTGGAGAAAAAGAAAAACAAAACAAAACAAATACTTCCGTAATCCATCCTTGCCCAAGATGCCAGCCTAGACCCAGGGCTTCTGTTTCCAGTGGTCACTTCAGGCTCTGTTTCTGCTCCTGTGTGTCTCTCAATCTAGGTCGTCTTGCTTCCTGCAGTGGTTCCCCTCCCTMTTCTCCAAGTGACCCAGATGGGGAGAACAGCCACTTGTGCTTTATTCTATAAGAGTCCCTAATATACTCATGGGGGTAGCAGATTTACTGAATGCTTGTGGGTGGCATGATAGGATAGCTCTAAATAGCCAGTTACTCACATTTAATATTGGCCCTTCTCTACTCTCCAAATATGCCTGATTATTTCTGCCAACTCAGGCGCCAGCTGCTGGTCGATGGCCTTGTCCTCTTTTTATCTTCATCTCTTCCAATCCTCTAGCGATTCTAAAAAGAATTCCTTTCATTCCATTCTTCTACTGCTGGGCTCTACAAACATCAGGGACAACAGATTTATTTCCCACTTTATGAATCATGGCATTTCTTCCAGTAGGAGAAGCCAGAGATAGGGTTCATTTTGTTTTGTACTCTGTGTGAGTGTGTGTGTGAGTGTGTGTGTGTGAGTGTGAGTATGTGTATGTGAGTGTGTGTGTGAGTGTGTGTGTGTGTGTTGCTGATGATGGAACTCAGGGCCTCAAGCATGCTAGGCAAGTGCCCTACCACTGAGCCACCCTCAAATCCTATGTTTTTTCCTTTTTTAATGAAGCATAATATACTCACAGAAAAGTGCATGAAAGTACATAGTACAATGAATTTTCAAAAGGTGAATATATACCAGCACCTAGATCAAAAGATGGAAGATGATCAGCTCCATAGCTTCCTCTTCCTGAATGGCAATCATTAGTATGGGCTGTTTTTACACTTTATGTACATGGAATGATACAGTATACATTCTTTTGTGTCTGCTTCCTATGTGTGTGAGATGTGACTATGTGTAGTTGCAGTTCATCCTCATTACAATAAAATCTTCTGTGTGGGGCTGGAGTTGTAGCTTAGTGGTTGAGCACTTGCCCAGCATGTGTGAGGCACTGGGTTCCATCCCCAGCACCACATAAAAATGAGTTTTTTAAAAAAAGGTCTATTGACAACCAAAAAATTTAAAACAAACAAACAAAAACTTCTATGTGACTATACCACAACTGATTTTCCCATTCTGCTGTTGAGTAATTCTAGATGAAAAGGGATTCTATGAGGTTGTGGCTTAGTGGTAGAGTGTTTGCTTAGTGTGTGTGAGGTCTTGGGTTTGATGTCCACGTACCACCAAAAAAAAAAAAAGAATAAAACGGATGCTGTGAATATGTTTGGATTGTTGGTAAACATGTTTTATGTTTAGTAGAAGCGTCAATTTTCCAATGTACCTGTATCCAACACTAGCTTTAAAAATAATGGTTTCTTGGCTGGGCGCTGTGGTGCACACCTGTAATCCCAGCAGCTCTGGAAGCCGAGACAGGAGGATAGCAAATTCAAAGCCAGACTCAGCAAAACTGAGACCGCTGCTGGGCTGGGGCTGTAGCTCAATGGTAAAGCACTTTCCTCCCAAGTGAGGCACCAGGTTCAAACCTCAGTACCATACGATACTGTGTGTTCATCTATAACTAAAAAAACATTAAAAAAAAAAGTGAGGCAGTGAGACGCTGTCTGTAAGCAAAATACAAAATAGGGCTGGGGATGTGGCTCAGTGGTTGAGTGCCCCTGAGTTCAATCTCTGGTACGCCTCACCACACACACAAAAATAATGGTTTCTTTATTCCACACAGAAAACAATGCTTTTTTATAGCACCTACTATGTAAATAAAGAATGTGTTTAGAGAATGTGTTCATATGTTGAGCTCCCCAGTAAGCTGTGAGCTCTTTGAGAACAGGCCATGCCGTTGGACTTGGTTTTGAGTGTATAACCCATAGTGGATGCTCAATAAATACATACTGTATGAATGAACAAACAAGCCTACAGGAGTTCTGCAGTTTGCCCTGAGCATAAGCTCAGGTATTTGTGGGTTAGGGCCTTGAACTTTGCTATAGTAAATGCTGTCTTCCTTCATATAAAATCATCTCTAAATCTAAAACATATTTGTATGATTTCACAAYCTCTTTACAATATCCAGCCAACTGACTGTTCAAATGGAAAGCCTCAGTCTTAATTAAGTTTCCTGCCTCTGGTCTATAACACCTGTCCTGGATYAGACCTGGCTTGGGGATGCCTATCCCCATTTAGACATGCTATGCATGATGGATGAGGCACGATGTGCCCTCCAATGGGGTAATGAATGCAGGTCAGTTATAGGCGATGGGCAGGCTAATGAAATACAGGCTCTGTAAGAGGAGGAGGGAGGCAGTGCATAATGAGAAACAGGACGGCTGAGATGAATTGAAAACAGTGGTTATTTTGAAAAAAGAGCCTTCCTATCAAAGGTGTTAGACATTCCCTGGTCCCAACCGAAACCTGGCCTTCCCTGTAGGCCTCATAAGTAGTCACTTTGTACTCTCTTTTCTTTCTTTTTTTGTAGTGGGGATCTAACCCAGGGGTGCTTTACCCCTGAGCTCCATCCTCAGCCCTTTTTTCTTTTCTTTTTTTTTTTTTTTTGAGTCAGGGTTTCACTAAGTTTCTGAGGGCCTCACTAAGTTGCTGAGGCTGGCCTTGAACTTGTGATCCTCCTGTCTCGGCCTCCTGAGTCGCTGGGATTACAGGCAATTGCCATGGCGCCCAGCTCATTCTGATTTTCAAGCTTCTTGAAGTCCAAAAGGCAAGTTAGGTTTTCCTTGGTTCTCACTGCTCTTCTAGTCCACTCCTTTTTTTTTTTCTTTTTTTAAATTAAGTTTTAAATTTATATGTAACAATGGAATGCATTACAATTCTTATTACACATATAGAGCACAATTTTTCATATCTCTGGTTGCATATA